ATATCATATATATATATATATCAGATATATGTATATAATATATATATGTGTGTTTAATTTATATGCAACTATGTAACATGTATTTAAGAAACAACTTGCCATATGTACCTCTTATGTCCTGTGTTCTTGGCTGCCGCAGTCCTCCACCTCCAAGATTCAAGGCAAGACGCCTTCGACATGGGTGTGTCACCACACTTTCCGAAAATGCCACCCCAGTAGAAGTTGTCGCCCACATTGAGGAGATAGTCCGGGTTGTTCTCCTGAAACCGCCCGCAACTTAAGATTGAATGTGCTGCAGGCAAACCGGCCCAGGCAAAGCAATCACTTGGATACAGGGCAAGGGCTAGGCAGGTTTTGGTGATGGATGCGGTCAGTCTAGGTCCGTCTCGCGAGGGCGCCTCACAACAAGAAAGAATCAATAAAAGGGGCACCCCTGTCAGTGTCCCGAGCTGGACGTGTCAGGTGTCCCAAGCTGGAAATCACCATAGCGCCGGGCTGTTGAAAAAGAACATAGTTAGACTCTGGAAGGCTAAAATGGACCCTGAAAACTGAAAACCACTGGTTGGTAGAGGAAAACAATCTTCCAGGGGGCCATTGTCAGGGTCTATTTTAGTTTTAGGGAGTGCAATTACCAAGTATACTACCTGCCCTGCCGGCAAAACTTGAGGCCAGGGGGAGAGGTCGAAAGCTAGCCGAATCGCACCGGATGTACTAGTTACATAGTCGGCAAAGCATGTAGGGATGACATGTTTTGGGAGGAAGGTTGCTATGTACATACTTTGCGCTAAAGAATGTAAATGTGACATCGCTGACTGGGAAGGGTACATTGGAACAACCCGGGTGCACTCGTTGGCAGGCACGAAGATGCGTGATCGGCAAATCTGGGGGGTAAATTTACCCTCCGCTTTTGTATGCCTTGAGTCGGAAAGAGGGGTAAGCATTTCTGACATCATACGGACTGTACATACACTAGGGCGTCCGTAGTGTAGGAGAAGCACGGGTAAAAGGTATATGGAATAGAGTGTCTTGAGGAAATAGCCGGTGTATGGTTATTGCAAATCTGGGGGGTAAATTTACCCCCCGCTTATGTATGCCTTGCGCTGGAAAGAGGGGTAAGCATTTCTGGCATCACAAGGACTGTGCATACACTAGGGCGTCCGTAGTGTAGGATAAGCACGGGTAAAAGGTAGAAGGAGTAGAGTGTCTTGAGGAAATAGCCGGCTTATGGTTATGGCAAATCTGGGGGGTAAATTTACCCCCCGCTTATGTATGCCTTGAGCCGGAACGAGGGGTAAGCATCACAAGGACTGTGCATACACTACGGCGTCCGTAGTGTAGGATAAGCACTGGTAAAAGGTATCAAGAATAGAGTGTCTTGAGGAAATAGCCGGTGTATGGTTATAGCAAGCCTGGGGGGTAAATTTACCACCCGCTTATGCATGCATTAGGTTAGAAATAGGGGTAAACAACTTGTAACGGTGAAGTACAAGTCCTATGCAGCAAGCAGCAGCCAGCAGCAGCAGCAGCAGCAGCAGCAGCAGCAGCAGCAGCCGCCTGCAGCCAGCAGCCAGCAGCAACCACCAACCAGCAGCCAGCCAGCAGCACCACGCAGCAGCAGCGCAGCATCAAGCCGCAGCAGCAGCAGCACCACCGGCAGCAAGCACCACCGGCAGCAAGCAGCAAGCAGCAGCAGCAAGCAGCAAGCAGCAGTAGCAGCGGCGTCGTCAGCAACAGCAGCAGCAGCACCAAGCCGCAACAAGTAGCAAAGCAGCAGCTACAAAAGCGGCAACCAGCGGCAGCAGCAAACAGCAGCAGCAAGCAGCAGAGCGGCAGCAGCAGCAGCACCCTTTACACCAAGCCACCGTTACACCCAACCAACCACGTTCACACGTTCAACCAACCCCCTACACGGCGCAGCTGGGAGTTGAACCGCGGGGGGGGGGGTGAAAGAGTGACTAGGGCGTACACGGTAGAGGTGCAGACCGCTAGTGTCTTTTATGCGCAGAGTCTTATCCTCTTGCTCTTTGAGCCTTGAGCAGTCAAGCATGGACACACTATATCAGCTGTTGGAGTGGAACCCTGTACAGGTAGGCTCTACTTTTCAGCAGGCACAAGATTCATGTCCACTTCTAGCTGATTGCGTATGTCGCATACTCTTTTTCTACTGCAAGGCTAAAACAGTCCAGCTAGCTCTGACAACTTAAAAGAAAACTACGGTGCCATGTACTTATCTAATCCAGTGTGTTTCACACTTTGGAGAAGATAATCTCATAGCTACTAAATACAGTGAGGGAGCAATAGCTGACTCACCTCAAGTACAAAATCAAAGCGATAATGTACCTCGGCTGGAGACTGTACTTTTCACAGGCGGAGATACCATGTACCGGCGCTCACTAGCTCTTTATGGCCTGAGCTAAATCAAACTAAAAGGGAAAGCGGCTTTTTCTCTACAGAGACCTATAAAAGAATCAAACGACACTCGCGTAACAAGAAACTAAAATTCAAGACCGCACAATGCAATGAATTAAGATGCCTTGCAAAATGCAAGGAGCGTACGGTCCGAGGAATAATCTTCTCGTGACGTGGTCTCGACCGCTTTCATTCACAGACAAAATAAAACTGCATCAAAAAGGACTCTCTTTCACATTCACATCAAAAACGCAAGAAGGAGATACCGGCAAATGTATGTACAAAAAAATCTTGCACTACAATTGCAAATCATGAAATGACTTAATCATCAACCATGAATGGTTGTCCATTAGAGGTCACTTCATAAGAGCGATGATGAGAGATATCATCAGTTATGTAAAACTGTCCATACCTATCTACATGCTAAAGCGTATAAACCTGGAATGCAGGAGTATCTTCTTTGATAAAAAGTTTCTCCTGGTTGCAAACCAGAGTTCATTAAAACTTCAGCCTGGCAACTTAAAGTCAAGCCTGGAAGCAAAGTATCAACTGTAACCAGAAGTATCTTCACTTCCTAGCCATCATTTAAATTTCAGCCTTCGCTCAGGAATTATGCCGCTGCAGACGATGAAGCTGCTTGACCAGAAGTTGGCGGCCTTCCTGTCCTTTTATTCTCTTTTTGTCTCTCCTTCCTCCGCAGTTTCGCCTCATGAAGAGTTGCTCCCATGCGATACTGTCTTCTGTCTCCAGATGAAAAGGAGGCTGGTCTGAGTGAAATAAACATTGGACCATGACTGTCCTCGTCAGAGGGTCTTGAGCACATAACCTCCGTGTCAATCATAGCAAAGTTCTCTGAAAAATTACAGATGAACTCCTTCGTGCTCACTGTGGAATTTTCATATTCCTCTTCACTCATTGAATGACCCCATTCAACAATGGTAGACAAACATGTATCTCCAAGCTGTGATCCTTGGTATTCTTCTTTTTCAACCGTAGAATATTCTTCCCAGAGTTTGTCAAAGTAAACCTCACACTTCTTGAGGACCTGTGAAGTTGAACTGTAAAATGTTCTGGGAATAGGTGCTTTGATACCAGGATCTGCTTTTACAGGAGCTTCTGAAAATCTGCGGATCCAATGCTGCATGGTGCTGTAATAGTAGTTAGCCATTGGCTGCCTTTTGTACCCAGACATTCTGTAGGCCAAACTATTTGCATCACCAGAAATGATGTCCACCTCATAGACAAAACACTCGTAAAGCATCAATGCTGTCAGTTCTCCTGTCAGTAGGTGGGCATCTACAGCACGGTGTGTATCAACATGATAATTACAGACTCTGATGGTATGCATGTTCGCTCGAGTAAGTGGAACACGCTTGTCCTCAGGACCATAGTCATCAAATTCAAAGTCTGCATCCTTGAAATCTTGACAAGGCCTTGTTTCTCCAAAACAAATCTCGTAGATAGCCCAAGTTACATCACGCTGTTCACAGTGACCAAGGTCTTGGTCATGTCCAGCAATGATCTTGACATATCCACCTGGTGCCAATCTAGCCATCACTGCAAGATTCTCCCAATCATTGAAACAAACTGTCCAATTCTTTTGCTCAATGAATTCCTTGGCAGGAACAAGAAGATGAGCTTCCTGGAGAATCACGACATGTGCACGTAAAAAGAAGAGCATATTGAAGAAAAGGTTGTTCTCAAATTGCTCGTACTGAAGTGACATGGCGCTCTGTTTGCGTGGCCTCATTGCACTATCAAGTCCTTGGAGAAACCTTGGTGTGGTGTACTTCTGACCACGAACCATGTTGCCATAGTTCCAGGATAAAAATGTCAAGGACTCTGAGCTGGCCGATAAGTTGGTTCCATATGGTTCTTCTATTCTTCCTTTGAGGAACCTTCTGCACAGCTCTTCATAGAAGGTGACAAAGTCCCAACTGGGTCCCTTGGGACCATATGATTCCAGTTCCTTCTTGAGTTCCTTCTTCGTCTCCTCCAATTCTTCTCGAGCATGTTCTGCCCTTTCAAGGGCCTTTGGATCGACCTGATAATATCCATCCAAATAAATGATGCGATCATCATTGATGAAGAATCTCTTCAAATCATGCTCTGGTTCATGTTCATAACAATCAGGTGGAGGTACTGGACAGACATTTCGAATGGATCGAACAAAATCATCCTCGTTGATCCTCGACTGATAATGAGGATGGGAAATCTCACCTTTTCTGAAACAAACATGATTCAGCAATCTTGCATGAGTTTCCCTGAAGCATAGTTGATAAAAGCCAATACCTGGATCTCCTGTAAGCTCTCCAAGCAACTTCACAGGTGAAGTATGCAGCTCATAGGTATTGTCAACTTTTGTTGTCTCATTTTCAACAACTACTTCAGATGGAAAAGATTCTTGGATTTCAGCCTCCAATTTCTTCTCTCCATCATCCTCTCTGACCTCTTTTATTTTCTCCACCGCCTCTTTCTTCTCTTCCATGGTTGCATCATCCTGAACTTCTTCATGAAAATGAGTATCAGGTATTTTATTCAGGCGGCTTTTCTTAGATTTCCGCTGACCTGAAGTATCATCAAGGTTAGCATCCATCTCACCTGATGGTAAGTGCGATGCAGTCGAGTCCTCACCTATCTCTCTTGACAGAAAGTGTGGTGTTGACTCTTCCTTGGCTTCCTCCTGGTCCACTTCCATCTTTAGTTCCTCTGAAGGAAAAACACCTGCATCTTCATCAAATATTTCTTCTTCCTTTTCAGGTTCAACTGCAGGATCTTCTTCAGGAACTTCCTCTTCCATATCCTCATCTTCCAGAAGTGTCATACTTCCAGTATAAACTTCACCAGCGAT